TCTCTACAAATAATTGTAATTCCCTGCCGTATCCACAGCAACAGCGATAAAAACTTGTTTTGTTTCCTTTGTTGACAGTTACAAGAATATCAGTACGAAAAAAACATCATTGTACAGTTCAAATATTCTCATTTAGTATTCGGTTTTAGTTCTAGATACTGTTTGAACTATTTTTAAAATTGTCAATTCTCGTCCATTGGAAGAAAAAATCAACGCGATTTTTATTTATGGTGCGACGCGTAACTTTCACGAGACCGAAAGGATTTTTTATGATAGTTTCCCGAATCGTCCTATCTGTAGGAAATATTTAAGGGAACTTGTATTTAAATGTACAGTAACTGGTAGTGTAAACAAAAAAGCCCCCAGGTCATCGGACCATCCCGGAAGAAAAGCAAGTTTAAATAATTGGTGAGATCATATTAAATCTCCAATAGTCTGCTTCCTCCATCACGAATGTAGGTGAGGTTTGTCCTTCTACTGTATGGAGACTTTTGAAAGAGAATAAGTATCACCAATACAGAATTCAAATGGTACATCAACTAACTGAAGATGACCCTGACCGAAGAACAGAATTCTGCGAGACTATGTCGGGAACCATTGCATGGCATCCTACCTATATCCAAAATATTTGTTTTAGTGACGAATGAACATTTTTTCTCAACGATAATGTGCATAGACAAAATTGTCGTTATTGGAGTGACATCAATCTTCACGTCTTCCGGGAAACTCATACTCAATATCCACAAAAAATTAACGTTTGGGCTGGGATATTGCGAAATCATATTGTGGGGCCTCTATTCATCGAACAAACTTTAACCGAGGAATTGTATTTGGATATGCTGGAAAATACTATTGATCCTCTATCACCGAAATCGTCGAAGCGAATCCTAATGAATTCGATACTGATATTGTATTCCAGCAAGATGGTTCTCCACCATACTACAACAGACAAGTTAAGAATTATTTAGATGACAATTTCCCCGGTCGTTGGATTGACCGTCGAGGTCCTGTGGAAGGGCCAACTCGCTCGCCAGATTTGACACCTTTATACTTTTTTTATGGGGCTATTTGAAGCAAAAGGTGTATGAAACTGAACATGCTTCAATATTGGATATACTGCTGAGAATAACGAATATTTGTAGAAATATGTTTGAAAATGTTCGACGCGAAATTACGGACTGGCTGCTATTGTGTCAAGAAGTTCAAGCCAACCATTTCCAGCATCTTCTAAACTGAACTCAACGTATTTATTCGAATTATCAAGTAAAATGTCAATGTATTCAGGTAATTATTAAATGTACCACCATTTTGTAGTAGGTAAAGGTATTGACTTTATATTATAGGGTTATAAAGTATTCGTCCGGAGCTTCAAGATGATGTGCAACAAGACCCCTGTTTTCATATATTTTTTTTAAAGATGGCGCCCAGCGGCCATCTTGACATTTTCATCTGTCAATTTTACTGTAAAATATGGTATCCACGCATCAATTTCATTGCCTCAAGTTTTAATTTTTGAATTGATCCGTTCAAAAAATCAAAGGGGAGGGGGACATTAAAGAAAAGCACTGTATATATATATAATATAATATATATAATAGGAAAATAGTGGGCAAAATCCGCAAGAAGAAGGAAAGTGGATTCCAGCAGGAAATAGGATAGGTAACCCGAGCAATACGTATTTCAACTTGTTGGCTTCATCAGGCCCTTCATCTTCGTTTCCTCAGGTTACACCGGTATCCGTATGTATGGGCGTGTAAATCTACTTTTGTGGTTGCATATGTATAAAAATAGCTGAAAAATATCCCCCTCAAATATCGGTATGTCGTGACCAAACACATTGTATATACAGGGTGACTTCGAAGTTGAGTCATTTATTTTAACAGTGAGTAGATCTTATCAAAAGAAATGTTGTTTTCCTTTACCATTTTTCTGGTAAAATTAAAGTAACAAAGTTATAGCCCTTTGGAAGTTTGAGTACCGCCCTGTCTCAATAATAATATGTGCTCGTGTTTGGCGACAACGGATATAATTCGCCTTATCGGTTCATCGCATCGGAAACAAAAAAGCGAAAGGATTTGGAACGATGTTTTTACAATTATTTCAATCAGTTGTATACAGTCAGTGTCAGTCGGTAGTGGATAGTGGCGTCTGTTGCGTGGCTCAAACGAAATAAAAAATGGCACATGTTTATGCGGATCGGTTTCCCAATCGAGTGCAACCAACCCCTCGTGCCTTTGTTAATGTAGTACAACGGGTTCGTGAATCATTTGACTTAAGACCTCACATATGGACGGCATGCCGGTGCTCCAAGACCTCACGATCAAATACAGGTCCGCACTGAAATACTTGTCGGGAGGATACTTTATAAAACAAGGTAAAATTTTTTTTTAATTGTTTTTTATTTTTACACACATATTTTGGTTTATCTTCCTTCTACAATCATTATCTGAAAATTAATGACTCAACTTCAAAGTATACAGGGTGTAAAGTTAGTAGTGGATCAACGGAAGTCAGGTGATAGAGGGCCTCAAAACATATCGAGTGAACCCCTATAGGTGTGGTTCAAAATTTTATAGTTCAGGAGATATTTGCAATTCTGTGAAATTTCGAAAGAAACAGGATAATGAACTTTCAATCGCAATTACAACTAAACTCCAAAGTTGAGGGATAGAAGAGATTTTTCACAAGAAAAATGAATATAAGATTTTTTGCGTTCTTAGCATGCTAAGCTATATACTATACGTTGATATCTTTATTTAAAACCTCCAGTAGCTCAGTCGCTGGTATGCTATGCAATGCTATATACTATACGTTGATATCTTTATTTTAAACATCCACTTTAACTCACAGCAATTGACCAAAAATACATCGCCGTCTTATTGCATTGGATATACATCACATCAGCTGTAAATGTCAAGTCAAATGTCATTAGTGTCACTGCCATATGTAATGCTTACTTTCTTCGATTATTATTTTTCCTAATCATAAAATTTAATTTTACGTAAGAAAAAGCATTGTTTCTTCCTACTTATATTAACAAAGCTAACACTATGGTGTTTCAATAAGGACGCAATATTTCAAGGTTCTATTAAACATGGTATTTCGTAATAAACAACTGAAGTATTTATTGGATTATGGTGTATATACTTTGGAATTATGTATAAAACAACTCATCAGGTAAATGGCAGCCAAGGCCCCGCTGGCACATGCGCACTCTCGTAAATTTGTGGTAACATTTTTGAACACATGTCGTGGTATCTCGTTGATACAGCGTCTGATTTCAGCTTTCAATGTTTCGGTGGTTACAGGCTTGTTGGCATAAACTTGTGACTTCGGATAAAACCCAAAGCCAATAGTCCAAAAGTGCTAAATCGCAAGAGCGTGGCGGTCAATTCTGGTCACCAAACCAGGAGATGACTCGACCAGGGGAAAACTCGCGCAAAACTGCCAATGTTTTATAAGCAGTATGGCATGTGGCACCATTCTGCTGAAACCATATGGCATTAAGAGCCATGATTTCTAATTGTGGCTCTAAAAATTGAGTAATCATTGCACGATAACGTTCGCCATTCACTGTTAGTGGATTACCCGGCTCGTCCTCAAAGAAAAATGGTCCAATAACTCCTACGGATCAAAGTGCACACCAAATAGTGACACGTTTTGGATGCATAGCTTTTTCATGAATTATTCTTGGATTCTCTGTGCCCCAAATGCGGCAGTTTTGACTATTCACGAAGCCATCGGGATGAAAATGGGCCTCATCGCTAAAAATGATTTTGCCTACAAGATCACCATTCACATACTGTTGGCCAACGATCCAATTGCTAAACTCTTTTCGCTGAGCATGGTCTGTTGGCATACGCTGTTAACTCAATTGGACTTTGTAGGCATGCATCTTTCGTTAGAATACGCTGGAGAGTGGCTGCTCTGACATTTTCTTCTGAACGACCGCTGCGAGCTCGTCTCATATGTTTCACATCAATAACAGAACCAGTATTTTCAAATTTTTGGATTATTCTTTTCACAGGGGATGGGGAAGGAACATTATTACGACCGAATATTAGCTGCACTTTTAGAATCGTGGCAATTAAACGTTCACCACTTTGGTAATAATTTTTAACAATTAGGATACGCTGTTCTATTGTGTAATGATTCATTTTCATAAACCTCCGCATAAACCGCCTGTCTATTATCGATCTGTCATGCCACGATCATTCAATTCAAGTATTGCGATCTTATTGATACAACCTTTATATACTGTATATCTTTATTTAAAACCTCCCGTAGCGGAGGTGCTAGCATGCTAACGCTATGCTATATACTGTACGTTGATATCTTTATTTAAAACATCCCGTTGCACAGTTGCTGGCATGCTAACGCTATGTCCTAAACCATATTCTTAATCCTTAGCTTTAATCATATTTTATCGTTTATCATCTTTCAACTTACGTCTATCTTTTATACTTTATCTTTGATATTCAATCCTTTATCCTTTATCCATCTTTTATCTGTTATATTTCATCTTCCAGCGTTTATCGTGTGTTCCACCATTTTCATGAATTATCAGTTGACTTGTCTAGGCATTATATAGTTTACAAGATCTCTGGAAGTTCGAAGTATCTTTTCAAATAATGATCTGAAAGTCAATGTTGCTTCCCCAAAATAACAATATATCAACCATGGGTTACCAAAATATCTAAGCGATAACACAAAAATGTCTATGGCAAAGCTGTTGTTATACCGTGCAAGAGTTTTTATCTTACAAATTTTAAATTGTCATTACCATGTGCAAGTGTTTTAAATTGTAATCCTCTAGCTTCGCCACACCAGCCGTTTTTTATGAAAAAATGATTTCAGACCCTAGTTTTTGGGTGTAGATAAACGAAATGGGACTGAAAATGAGCGCAAACATGAAAGATATGCTTCTATAGTAATCAATAATCTTACATCAAGCATTTGTTTGAGACGCTTACTTAAATAAAAGAACAAAATAAAAAAGTGTTTCTTTATATCTCAGAAAAAATGTGATACATCTTTGAATTCGTAGAAAAGATGCTATCAGATACAAGGTGTACTCCTTTTCGGGCCATAAAGAAATATTGCTGATCATGGTTTTTCAAAAACGAATCGTCCGGCACAACATTCAAAAACATCATTATGTAGTGCCTAAAAAGTGCAAATGGAAGTTAGTTTTTTGATATTCCTTAAAATAAGGCCAGAAAAAAATAAACCAATTTTTAGTTTTTCCCAAATACCTCAGTAAACCATGGAATTTTACAAGTTTTTCAACAGTATGTAAATATAAATTCTCATAGATACGGTATCTTATTTTATCTCGGAAACATTTTTGGAAGTGGGAATCCAGCATTAGGTTGGCTATATTCAGGTAGAATACGCTAATCAATGCTTAGACTGACCTTATGTTCAATGGACTTTTATACTTTTTTAGGCTGACGACACCAAGAAACTTATGCATTCACACCACTGGCTTTTGGTTCAAAACACAAATATGTCGAAAGGAGAAATCAACGATATGTTTTTGGGGATAAAAATGCGTCTAGACATGAATGTCAAAATAGCTGTACCATTAACTCCGAATATTTTCGACATCTACGAGATCTATAAGTTGGGCATAGGCGTCAACAATACTATAAACAAAATTGGAAGTTATTCAGATGAAACAATTATGGTGTCGAATGTGACATTTTATGAATCCAGAAAAAATCTGACAGGTGTACTGGTGCGACAAGGAGACAGGGTAGGTAGCAGGTGATTTACTTAGAGCTAGTTTTTTCAAAAGCATAATAAATCGCAAATAACTGTGGCTGTTATCTGCTGAGATTGATTATCTAACAGACAACCATCCATGGGGTTCGCTTTTTAATAATTAATTTTTCGAATGGTTAGCCATCACTGTGGGTATTCTGGTCCATTTTAGAATTCGATTTTTCGATGACATACTTGTGCATTTCAAGCAGTATTTCACGAATTAATCGGGTATCGCGATTTAAAATTCGTCTAGGCGGTTAAATTATCACTGGTCGACAGGCAAAATGTATACGGAGCCAATTTTAGTGAATCTTGTAGTGTTAAACAAGAATATAACAGGTAAAAAGCCCTTTTGGCTCTAGTTTTTCCGGTACCTGTAATTTATGAAAAATACTACATCGAGTGGGCTGGTCCCGTGAGTGGGGAACTTCGACGTCGACGTGTCCGTCTCAGAACAGTATGGTTCCAACAAGACGGGGCAACATCTCACACAGCTCGCACTTCGATAGAACTTCTTCGGCAAAAATTCCCAGGACGTCTCATTTCACGTCATCCGATATTCCATGGCCCCCTCGCTCCCCGGACCTGTCAACGTGTAATTTTTTATGGGGCTACCTGAAATCAAAAGTTTACCAAAGCAAGTCTAGGATCCTCGTCGATTTGGAGGAGGAAATAAGAAGAGAAGTCACTCAAATTCCTGCACGGATGCTGAGCGACGCATTTCAGCATAGGCTTGATTCCTGCATTTCGGCTCAAAGGCGCCATATGGCCGACACAGTTTTTAGAACGTAAATTTTGTTTTACTAAAAAATGGCATGTATTTCTGAGTTTTTTATGTAATAAAATATTTTCCCATACTTATTTTGACTGTTCTACTAATCTAAAAAAAAATGCGTTCATTCTGACGGGTCCTGTATTAGCGCCTAATTGCTTTTTAAATGTGTTTATTCATTTATATATGTATAATATCATTTACCTTAAACAAGTTAGTGTTCGTTCAACCTTTTTTTGATGACAAGCTGTATTTTCTCAAAAGTGAATATGCCGCGCACTTGTGTAAATAAACCAGACAACTTTTGTTACATTTGTGGTAAAGTGACCCTCCAGGCCCAAAAATGCAGAATGACTCCCTTAATTAAAAAGCATACCATTTATATTTTGGTTGCAAAATCGGAGACTCCCCATATATGTTGTAGTAATTGTGCCAACAATCTTCGTAACTGGAGTAATGGTAGAAAACGAGCGATGCCCTTTGATGTACCTATGGTTTGGCGTGAACCCCAAGACCATATCCCGGATTGTTATTTCTGCCAAATATCTCCGATTAAGCAAGCTATCACCAAACAAAAGATGATGGCGTTGATACAGTATCCCAATTTGGAATCGGCGATGCGTCCAATTCTTCATAGCGATGAGTTACCTGTTCCTGATCCACCACATGAATGCACCGTATCTGCAGAAGAGTTCGTAGGTGATTCGGATGAAAATTTAGACCAGCCATCGACATCAGCTTTTTTTTTTTATTATCGAAACAGCCGCGCAGGCAGAAGCCTAAATGCCGGAACACCGCGGCTGCTATGATGATCCCAAAGAAATTTTGTTAATACGATTTTTGAACTGCCTAAGGTTAGTAGAACTGGGAAAAGCTTCCTCCCGTAGATTGTTCCACAATCTAGACACCCGCGGGACAAAGGAGCGGTCGTATCGGCCAGTTCTGGATGTACGAAGCTTGACACGGTTAGGATGGGACGCCGAAGTCAGGCGGGTCTGTCTGGCAGGCACATCGCGCGGCGGCATCATGGAAGAGAGCTCTGAGGAGCAAAGCCCGTTGGTGTAGCGATAGAAAAGAGCTAGATCGCCGACGACCCGCCGGTGCGAAAGAGTCCCGAGACTGTCTGTTAGAGAAGTGTCATTGATCAGAGGGACCGCCCTCCTCTGGACAGCATCGAGCATGGACAATGTAGTCGGGGCGGCAGCACCCCAAATGTGTGAGCAATACTCGAGGCTAGGCCTTATCTGGGCCTTGTATAGAGTGAGAAGGTCATGCGGAGAAAAGTACTTCTTAGCCCTAAACAAATAGCCTAGCTTTTTCCCAGCAGCTGCAGCTATTGAAGAGATGTGTTCGTGCCAGATCAGATTCTCGGTGATCTGGACTCCGACCAGCCGAAATGAATGGCTCTTTGGTAGAACTCGACCGTCCATCGAAACTGTATGAGCGCTAGGACGCTTTTTGTTCGTCAAAGTACAGTACTGTGTTTTGGAAGCATTGAACTGTACAAGATTGTTGCGTCCCCAAGCAGTGATAGCCTCCAGGTCTCTTGTCAGAGAAGAAGTCGTCGCTAGTCTTCTTTTTTCCAGCTCAGCGGCAGAGATCGGCTTGTCACTCTGAATTCCTGCATGTAGAGTGCTGTCATCAGCGAAGCTATGGATTGGGTTGATCGTGCAGGAAAGGAGGTCGTTGATATGTAAGAGAAACAGTGTTGGAGCCAGGACCGATCCCTGGGGAACACCCGCGTTGACATTGTGGGATGAAGAGGAGAATCCGTCAATTACGACGGATATCTTGCGGCCAGAGATAAAGTCAGCCACCCATCTGCAAAGCTTTTCTGGGAGGCCGTAGGATGGAAGTTTGCTTAAGAGGGCAGCGTGCCACAGCTGATCGAACGCTTTCGTGATGTCAAGAGCAACGACATGAGCCTCACCATGAGACTGGATGAGTTTACTCCACAGTTGCGTGACGTAAGCTAGGAGGTCCCCTGTGGATCGTTGATGTCGGAAACCGTACTGCCTGTCGCTAATCAAGCTGTGACGTTCGAGGTAGTCCAGAAGCTCGCGATTTATGCACCTCTCCATCACTTTACTTATAACAGAAAGCAGAGCTATAGGCCTGTAGTTGTAAGGGTCGGTCTTAGATCCTTTTTTTGGGATGGGCTGTACATGAGCAAATTTCCAGTTTTCTGGGAAGGTGCCAGATTCATAAGATATCTGGAAGAGACGCGAAAGAACTGGAGCAAGCTCCGCTGCACATCTCTTCAGTACAATGGCAGGAATCAAGTCCGGACCAGAAGCTTTGTTGATGTCGAGCGACAAGAGTACTCGTCTTACGGTCTTATGCCTGAATGTTACCTCCCGCATAGTGTGGGGAACCCTTTGAATTGACGGCACTTGGGCGTTGGTGGGGACGTCCATGGTGGAGTTGGCAGCAAAGATCTTAGCTAGCACTTCCGCCTTGGCCTTTGAGTCGAATACAATAGTTCCATCCTGACACGTAAGTGGTGGAAGGCTACTGTGTGAGAAGTTCTTTTCAATCTGCTTGGCCAGCGTCCAGAAAGACCGACTGCCATTGCGCTGTGACATTACCCTGCGCCTAACTTTTATATCATGCTGGTTTTTGGCATTGCGAACCGCTTCGTTATATTTGTTTCTGGACTCGACGTCGGCTTGTCTGTTCTCTACAGTGGGGTTTTGTAAGTAGGTTCTGTGGGCCTTGATCTTCTGCTGGCGAGCAGTGTCACACGATTTGTTGAACCAGCCGTTGGACCCTGGTTTAGGAACTTTCACTGTGTGAGGGATGTATCCCTCCATTCCGACGTGGATAATTTCGGTTATTGAAGAACAGACAGTCGACGCATCCGCGTCAGTGAAACAGACATCTCTCCAAGGAAAGCTAGAGAAGAAGTCTCTGAGCCCCTCCCAGTCGCATGTCCGTAATGCCAAGTTTTGCGGCCTGTGCGAGTTTCTGCTGCCACAGCGGGTTCTGACCGAAGCATAGCCTCCACAACACTGTGGTCTGAGTTACCCAGGGGGGACAGGACAGCAATGCTGTAAGGGACAGGATGCGTGGTCAGAAAGAGATCCAGCAGGCTACTGGCGTGTGACGAGACGCGGGGAAAAAAAGTAGGGCTCGTCACCAGCTGGGTCAGCCCTTGAGTAAGAGCGAACGCTTCGACTGCACGACCTGCTACATCGGTCTTATTTGAGCCCAACCAAAGCTCATTATGGGCATTGAAATCACCGAGAAGAACTACCTCTGAAGCGGGGTGATTGATGTTCAGGAAGTCGATCTGGACGGTGAGGTATTCGAGTAGGTCATCCCAGTTATGGTTCGAGGGAGAGCGATAAAGGCAGCAAATAAATTTGGGTGATGTTTTGGAGTTGAGGCGAAGCCACAGAATGTCCTTCCGGTCTGATTCCAAAGAAAGATCCCTGGAGCAGGAAAGACTGCTGCGGACAAAAGCCACAACTCCCCCGTTCTTTCTCAGATTGGAGTGCACCTCGTAGTTTGGGAAGTTGAGATGGTTAATCGGTGCAGTCTCTGAGATTTTTGTCTCCGCCAAGAAAAGCACGGCGGGACGATTGGATTGCAGGTAGTGATGAATAGCATCAATGTTGCTGTTGATCCCGCAGATGTTCGAAAAACAAATTTTATCTTCGATGTTGCTCCCTCGAGCCCACCCTCCACCCGGACATTCCGAGAGTGGAGTGAGTTTACGTCCGGAGTTCTTAGTGCTCGAGGGATCCATCATCATTAATTTCTTTGTTTTGGTAGATAACCAACTGCATAGCTTAGGTGTGGAAACATGCGGACATTTATAAGACACCCTGGGAAAAGCTAGCGGGTGGTACTGCCTCGGTTGACTGGTCCTTGTCTACCACCTTCTTTTTACGTGTTAGTGATGTTAAATAGACCTAAAGTGGCCCATTGGCGGACTTGTACCGCCACCCGGCAATCGGTACTGAGGTATTCCTTAACGCGTGCACAATCACTTGGACGGGAAGAAGTTGTATACTGGATACAACAACTTCCGGAACAAGCATTTGCCACGGCCCACGCTCAGTAGGGCTTGAGAGCTGCCGGAGATCCAGACTTTACTTGTGAAGAAGCCAGTGGAGCACCATATTTAATTAACCA